TTTTGAGGATAATAAAATATGATATTGGATAACATTGGCATTGAATATATTTCGATATTGAAAAAAAAATATTGACTGTTTGAGAATAGAGGATGCTGGCTTTTGGAAAAGTATTTAAATAGATAGAAAGAGGTTTGAATATTGTTTTAAGGGTTAAATAATAGTTTGTGAGTTGAATATTGATTTGAATATTAATAAAAAGTGCAGAGGAAAATAAGTTCAATAATAATCATTATCGAAAATGATGTAATGTGGAAAAAGATTAAACAACGCTAATTCACGTTCATAAAAGACTATCATTGTTGCATTAGTTAGCTGAATTATAGTTAATGCAATATTTTATAGGTGAAACACATGTAAGTAAATTTTTTAAAGCAATAAACTAAAATAAACGATTTGTTTTGAAAATTGGCTTTATCAACAGTTTGAAAGTTGAAGAAGGATACCATGTCGAACATAGAAGAGTATTTTATTTTAAGTAATGAAGATTTTAAAATTATTGAAAATGTAAATGAAATGTTAAATGATATGCACATGTATAAATTTCAAGAATTATCAAAAAATGATTCAAATTCTTTTTTCATTATGCAAAGTACTTTGTATTTACAAATGCTTGATTTAATTGTTCCAATTAGAGAAAGAGTTAAACATATTCAAATAGTTTTTAGCGGTAATAACAATTCTGGTCATTGGATTTGTGTTTATTACGATGGAGTAAGACTTTATATTTTTGATAGCCTTAATGCAGGGTGTTTGAATATTCACCAAATAGAATATTTAATTAGATTGCTCCCTTTTAAACCAACAGAATTTTTTGTAGATGTTGATCAACAACCGATTGGTACAGTTAAGTGTAAAGTATAATGCAATAGCATTTGCAACATCTGTATTGGTTAACAGTGTAAATTAAAAGATTAATTTATGAAACTGATAATAATATAATGAGCAAGCATTTGATATCATTTTTTGAAAACAATTAATTAAATAATTTTCCGGCAGTTAGAATGTCTAATATTAGGATTTGGATTTGTAGAGAATGATTGGAATTGTCTTTTCATAAATCGAGCTAAAGAAGTTCAAAATGGTGAACTAAACCTTTCATATTTTTTAAAGACTTTTCCCAGTAAAAATGACAACAGAGTTCTGTCTACTGAAACTGAGAATGAAAAGAAAATACCCAAAGAAAAAAGTTTGTCCTGTAAGATGAAGAAATTATCTACAGAAATTGAAGAGGGATTTACATGTTGATGTAAATTCAGTATGCACAACAGAAAATAATAAGAAAATAATTTCTAGTCTTATTGTTAGGGGAAATTTTGATCCTATGACATATCCTACAATGTTTCCTTATGGTGATCCTGGATGGACTGTTAACCTTAAGCATACTCAAGGTACTTGTAATTTTATTCATTTACAATTTTATATGTATCGTCTTTCATAGAGAAGAAAAAAGCGTGGATTGACACATGTGCGTTTAACTATTTGTTTACGTACACAAATTTGCGATTCAGAAACTTTAAATAAAATGATATGTGCTGAAATCACAGACGAAATAAAGAATCCAGAACTTTTTAACATTGTAAAGCGATTTTAAGTTCATGGGCCTTGTGGTAAACAAAATAGGAATTCACCCTGCATGGATCCTGAGATGGGTCATTTAAATGTATTGCTGACAATTCGACGATCGTAGCATTGTATAATCTTTATTTGAGTACAAAATTTAAAGGTCATATTGACTGGGCAATAATAGGTATTATATTATTATAACACCATAATGTTGAAATAGTAATACAGTAACGATTACAAAAATAATATTATTATTTTTGTGAGATCAAAATTCCAAAAAGTGTCCGTCAAATAAAAATAAATTTTTAATTTTTCATAAAAAATTGCAGATATCTCGCGCGTTTACGCGCGTTTCTTTTAGCTAGTTCAAAGATAAAAACACGAGAAGACACTTGCATTCACCGCCAGGAAAACACTTCTCATACGATCGCTGAAAGTTCACCTCAAAACAATTTTGAAATTAGTTCGCCCGATAAATACATCACAAGTTCTCCACCCAGAACCTCGGAACTAGAAACATCCGAAATTCAAAAAAAGAAAAATACATTGGAAGCATCAAGGATTCTCAAACCAACTTCGTTGGCAAAACGAAAATTAGATATGAATGATTCTCCAATTTCCAGTTTTCGGCATGACTTATCCGAGATATCGGATAATGATTCAGATTCAGAGGGTAAGTTATTTGAACTATTCATTTATACAATAGGTTCTCAATAACATTAACTCCTGATTAAAATGAACATTTTGGTATCAATAAGATGAAGAAAATTCTCCTCGCTGCGACTCAACCGGATATATGAGCTGAAGGCGCCCATTTTAACCCTTGTGTCCCTACCCGGGTACCCGGGTACCCCTGATGATACGTTTTTGCCTATAACTCGAGTAAATATGATAAATTTGCCTCCACGCTCCAAATCTTCGTTTTTTAGCATAAATAAAAGAAAATGATCCATTTTAGAACATTTTTCATTGTTATAAATAAATAAAATAAATAAATATTATAAATAAAGTTTTACAACGAATTTTTAAAAATTGCTTGGATTCACTTGAAAATGGTTACTCGGGGGTTTTTGGGGTCGCTGATTACGAATCCGGTGTCAGTTTTTCAAAATTAAAAATGGCGGATCCAATATGGCGGACTACTTTTTTAAAAATTGATTCAATTGGCTTGAAAATGGTTACTCGGGGGTTTTCGGGGTCGCTGATTACGAATCCGGTGTCAGATTTTCAAAATTCAAAATGGCGGATTCGATATGGCGGACGATTTTCTTAAAAATTGATCCAATTTGCCTGAAAATCGTTACTCGGGGGTTTTTGGGGTCGCTGTTTACGAATATGACATCAGTTTTTCAGAATTTTTAAAATTCAAAATGGCGGATACAATATGGCGGACGACCTTTTTAATAATTGATTCAATTGACTTGAAAATTGTTACTCGAGAGTTTTTGGGGTCGCTGATTACGAATCAAATTTTAATTTTTTCAAAATTTAAAATGGCGGATACAATATGGAGGACGACTATTTCCAAACCGATCAAATTCGCTTGAAAATGGTTACTCGGAGGTTTTTGGGGTCGTTGATTACGAATCTGACATCAGTTTTTCAGAACTTTCAAAATTAAAAATGGCGGATCCAATATGGCGGACGAATTTTTTAAAAATTGATTCAATTGGATTGAAAATGGTTACTTGGAGGGTTTTGGGGTCGCTGATTACGAATCCGGTATCAGTTTTTCAAAACTCAAAATGGCGGAAGACTTTTTTAAAATTACTTGGATTTACTTTGTTGAAACTATAGAGTGTTTTTGTTTATTTGTAATTTTAAAATAAGCTTACAGTAAAAATAATGCACCCGCGATACTGTAATTAACGACTGTAAGTTCAATGTATGCTTTCATAGTGTGCTATTGTTAACTGTATTTGAAGTTAGCAATAAGTTGATTCTTTAAGATCAATATAGACTACAGTGTAGATCATTACACACTTACACCGTAAGATTGTATACATATGTGTATACTTCTATTTACAGTAGGTTTAATTTGATCTGATAATGTAAGCTTACAGTTGTACAGTGAAGTGTTGTGATCATTTTATTTCTACAATTTTGCAACGAATTTATTTTTATGCGCTAAAGAGCATTCTTGCTCACTTTGAAATTATGGAAGAGGTGTCGAGAGGTGAATACAGAAGGTAAGATCATACTTAATTTTAGATGGATGAGTGGGTGGGTGGGTAGATGGATGAGTGTGTGGGTGGATGGATGGATGGATGAGTGGGTGTGTGGGTGGATGAATGGATGGATGGGTGTGTGGGTGGATGGATGGACGGATGGGTGGGTGGATGGATGGTTGAATGAATGGATGCATGGATGGATGGATGGGTGGATGGATGGATGAAAGTGTGGGTGGATGGGTGGGTAGGTGGATAAATTGTCTGATATTTGGATGGACATACATAAATTGATTGTCAAGATGGACGTTTGACTGATTGCTGTAAAAAATAGATACCGTTTAGGAAAAAATATTTTTCTTTAGAATGACTTCTGCTGAAAGAAATGCTTATTTGAATGCGCTTCTGGGAAATAACCATGCTGATTCATCCGCGGAGTCTAACAGTGAGGACGATGGCGACTGGACACCAGATGAACAATTATCAAGTTCCGATTCTTATATGTCTGAAGCTACAGGTAATTCAGGTGATTTGTTATTCAGTCAATGTCAAATTTTTGAGTTTTGGTTCATAAAAATTTTGTATGAACAATGTTATTTTTTTAGATATTGATGAAAATGGATTTACGAGTGAAGATACCAGTGAAGTTGATGAAAATCAAGCAGTACAAGCAGGTACAAACGATTTTTAAAAAATTTGAATTGCATAATTAGTCAATATTTCAATATAATGTGTGCATTACAAAACTTATTTTCGATAGGACGTACGCGAAACTTTTTTATTGACAAAGACAAAACAGTATGGTATAAAACGCCACCATGTCAACGTCAGACTGGAGCTCACAATATTTTACGTCAGCGAAGTGGACCTCACGCAAGTACAAAATCCTTATCGATAAGTGAAACATTTAAGAAGATATTCACCGAAAATATAATTGAGATAATTGTTCAGTGTACAAATAAAAAGGCTACATCTTTTTATGTGGAATACAATGCAGAGCATGTTAATGCACAAAAAGAATGGAAGCCTGTAACTGTAGCAGAAATCTATGCGTTTATTGGTATTTTGATTTGCGCCGGTGCGAACAATTCAAACACTGATCATATAAAGGACATGTGGAGTGCCAACTCATATCCACTATACCGAGCTACAATGGGACTTAACAGGTTTCAGTCAATTATGCGTTTTATTAGATTCGACGACGCTGATACACGTAATGAACGGATGCAACAAGATAAAGCAGCTGCAATTCGTGATCTTTAGACAATGCTCAACACTAATCTTTCCAGATTGTATAAACCTACGGAGAATTTAACAATCGACGAACAGCTTTATCCTTTTCGCGGGCACACGAAATTTACCCAGTATATACCCTCGAAGCAGGCCAAATATGGCATAAAAATTTGGTGGATTTGTGACGCAGCAAATTCGTATCCTTTGAACGGCATCATTTACACCGGGAAAACAGGTGATGTTTCTGAGAAAAATCAAGGCGAAAGAGTGGTCAAAGAACTAGCAGTAGCGTACAAAGGAAGTAGCAGAAATCTTTACATGGACAACTTTTTTACAACTCTACCAGTTGTAAAATTAATGCTTTCATGGAAGCTAACAGTTGTTGGTACTCTGAAAAAAACAAACCTTATATTCCCCAAGATATGGCTGCTAGCAAAGCACGAGAAGTGTACTCTACATTGTTTGGTTTCCATGATAAGGTAACAATTTGCTCGTACGTGTCGAAAAAAAATAAGGCTGTGATTTTGCTATCCACAATGCATTCTGATATGTCTGTAAGTGATGATGCTAAAAAGAAACCAGAAATTATAACTTGTTATAATAAACAAAAGATCGGAGTTGACACCATGGACCAGATGATCAGAAGGTACACAACCCAACGTCGTACTTTGAGATGGCCGCTGGCTATGTTTTTCAATATGCTGGACCTCAGTTCTCTTGCCGCATATCTGATTTTCTACGAAAACAATCCAACGTTTCCAACGAAGACCAATCAAAGACGTTTGTTTCTTCGCGAATTGAGCGAACAGCTAGTAAAGCCAATCATCCAGTCTCGTATGATGAATTAGCAAGTGATTCGAAATTACACGACAAAAATCGCAATTGAAAGCATCTTGGGCCGACAGATAAATGATGTGCAAGACACTCCTGATCCTTCCACTGAACGACATGCATCAGGACCTTCCGCGGAACGAGATTCATCAGGAAGAAAGAAAGTTACAGGTTCGTGCTATATTTGTAACAAGCAAGAAAATAAACTATGAAGAAAAACGCGCAAGAGTTGCTCCACATGTCATCAGCCAATTTGCAACGAACATTCGGTGAATACTGTCAAATGCAAAGAGTGCATTGAATGAAGTTCTTCCTTGATTTCATATTTTATATAATTTTTAATTGCATAATGTAGTTTACTTGTTTCGTTCAATAAATATTTATTAATTAATATTTATTAACTTTAATGCTTGAAACACAGAAACTCTGCGCGTTCTACAATGGTTAAAATAGCTTGGGTTCATTTACATATCACGTGATACACACTTAAGCTAATTTGAGCCCCTTCCCCCCGCGTGATACTCTTTCTATTGTTAAAAAATTAAATTTCTTTGAAGCGTGATATTTTTCCTACCCTCCTCTCAGCTCCTACAGATACCACGTGATATGTGGATGACCTATTTCGAAAATAAGGCGCAGCTCCCGATTTTTAAGTTTTGAAAATCTGATACTGTATTCGTAATCAGCGACCCTGAAAACCCCCGAGTAACCATTTTCAAGCGAATTTGATCAATTTTTAAAAAAGTCGTCCGCCATATTGTATCCGCCATTTTGAATTTTGAAAATTCTGAAAAACTGATGTCATATTCGTAATCAGCGACCCCAAAAACTCCCAAGTAACGATTTTCAGGCAAATTGGATCAATTTTTAAAAAAGTCGTCCGCCATATTGTATCCGCCATTTTGAATTTTGAAAATTCAGAAAAACTGATGTCATATTTGTAATCAGCGACCTCAAAAACTCCCGAGTAACGATTTTCAGGCAAATTGGATTAATTTTTAAAAAAGTCGTCCGCCATATTGGATCCGCCATATTGAATTTTGAAAAACGGACATCGGATTCGTAATCAGCGACCCTGAAAACCCCCGAGTAACCATTTTCAAGCGAATTTGATCAATTTTTAAAAAAGTCGTCCGCCATATGGTATCCGCCATTTTGAATTTTGAAAATTTTGAAAAACTGATGTCATATTCGTAATCAGCGACCCCAAAAACCTCCGAGTAACGATTTTGAGGCAAATTGGATCAATTTTTAAAAAAGTCGTCCGCCATATTGTATCCGCCATTTTGAATTTTGAAAATTCAGAAAAACTGATGTCATATTCGTGATCAGCGACCTCAAAAACTCGCGAGTAACGATTTTCAGGCAAATTGGATTAATTTTTAAAAAAGTCGTCCGCCATATTGGATCCGCCATATTGAATTTTGAAAAACGGACATCGGATTCGTAATGAGCGACACCGAAAACCCTAAAGTAACGATTTTCAGCTAAATCTGACAGTCAGATTATTTTTTATGAATTTTTTATTGTTGTGGGTACCCGGGTACCCCGGGTGCGAGACAACGTAGAAAAAGTTGGGTGCGGACACAAGGGTTAAATAAAATAAAGCTTTTTCACTTTAATTGTTATTAATAAAAATATTTTATTTTTATACTTTACTTTAAGTTACTTAAACAATTTTTATTCTACATGAAAACTACAAAATATTACTAAGTTAATATAAATATGAACTTTTAAAGATTCTAACATCTGTACATTTATTTTAAGGCCTTTCTCCCATATGTTCCTAAATGTTTGCGTGCGTGACTGACGCGTTGGTTTGCGACCTCAATGATGTCATTAAAGCATTAACACCAATCGCGAACAAAAAATTTAGTTTATGATTTTAAGATACTGAATATTTTAATTATAAATATTAAATAATTAAAATTATTAAATGCCGTCGAGAAACAATTGCATTAAAAATTGTAAAGTTGGAAAACAGGGATAAGAGGAACTTAAACCAAACTTTTTGATCGCGATTGGTATCAATGCTTTGATAACGTCACTGCGCTTGCGAACCAATGCGTCATTCACACAACGCAAACATTTATGAACATATTGGAGAAAGGCCTTTACATTACCAACAAACCACAGCAATCATTCCCCTTATGTGCAGATGTTATGTGATTGTTTGTGCATACACACCAATAAACACAAACATACATATGAAGTAAAGTTGCAAAGTAAAGGTTTTAAATATATTTTTAAAAAACTATTTATCAAAACAATCCAAAACCTTTTTCAATTATAAAAATTATATATAAAATTATAAAAAATTTGTACCTTTGCAGTACAGAAACTCATAATATATTTTGGGGTTGAAAGGGACCACAGTAGTAGAGCTAGGTGGGTTCTGGGCCACTTACCGACCGAGGTCGGTAAGGTAGGAATCTTTTATCAACATTTTTTACCTGCGTTGCAATGTGGTGTTCTTCTTTACCGACCGTTCTAGTTTCGGCTGCCACCGCTAGATGGCGCCACCTTATTTTCGCGCCGAATTTAAAATGGCTTGCAATATGGGAAATTTTTTTTACTCAATTCAAAATGGCTTGCAATAAAGTTTTTTAAATTTCCCGCTGAAATTACCGACCGTGCTAGTTCTGGCTGCCACTGCTAGATGGCGCTACTAGTAAATAGCCCAATTGTGCTAACTGAATTTTTAAATGTTTGAATTTTGGCGGGAAAAATGTGTGTTTTGCTGAAGGGGATTTTTTACCGACATTTTTTAGTTTGTGCTGCCACCGCTAGTTGGTGCCAATATTTTTTTACGTTGAATTTAAAGTCGCTTGCTGAAGGGGTTTTTTTAAATTTGCCGCCCAATTTACTGATAGTTTTATTTTTGACTGCCACTACTAGATGTCACCATTTTAATTTATTACATGATAAAAAGTCACTTGCTGAGAGGAGATTTTTTAAATATTTAAATTTTTTACACTAATTTCAGTGTTCTATCTTACCGACTGAGAAACTATCTATCCCTGGTGACTTTTTAAATATTCCCGCTTGGTAATTAACTTAATTTGTTGAAGTTCTATTCTAAACAATATGTTTAAATCACCCGCCTGTATTTGAATTTAAACGCTCCGTGTTCATCTGTGAAGCCCCCTTCCCTTACCACTACGAGCCGGGGATTCCCCAGGCTGTGGCGGAGCGCGCATAGGTGGGTGTGAAGAGATGCGCGCGCCAGTGGAGTGGTGGACGGCACCACAGTGTGAGTGTAGTGGGGACTCGCGTATATCTGCCGGTGCACGAGCTCAAGTGAGTCATTATATCTCTTTCAGCTTTAGCAGCAGCAGTTCCAGAGTTTTTAGGATTATCTTTCAGCTTTTGCTTTCAGAATTTTTTCAGCTCCTATTTATTTTTATTCAATGTTTATTTTTCAGAGTTTTTTTTTTAATTTCTATTTTTCTTCTAGTTTTTAGTCATTTTTTCTTTTCAGTTGGTGTTGGATATTTTTTCTTGGGTTAATGAGTTTTTTGACGATGCCTATGTTTTATTTAAATTTAAGATTGAAAAAGCTTTAAACAGATTTAGTCCCATAAAAGTTTATACCGTCTTGGTTGCAAAATTTAAAAAAGATTCAAATGATGGAAAAGAGGAGTTTGATTTGAAAAGTTTTATCGCGAAAACAGAAGAAATTTTGATGACAACCCATTTGGATGAGTGGTATAATGTTAATGTTAAGCAACCCACTTTGAAAAAGATTGAAGAATTCCAAGAGAAGGATTCTAATTGGAAACTTGAATCTATTCACAGGTTAGAGGTTAACATTAATAAGTTCAACCCTATGCACGCAAGTTCTTACATAAATTTGCCATCTATTATTAATCTAAAGCATGCCTGTGTCAATGTTCATAATACTGATAACCAATGTTTTAAATGGGCAATTTTATCTGCTTTACATCAAGTTGTAAACCATCCTTATCGAGTATCTAAGTATAAGCCTTATGAAAATGAACTTAATTTTAACAGAATTGAGTTTCCTGTTGCATTGAAAGACATTGCAAAATTTGAAGATCTAAATAATAATATTTCAGTTAACGTATATGGTCTGTCAAAACGAAATGAGAATTTTAGTGTATATCCTCTACATCTCACAAAACAAAAGAGAGTGGGCCATGTTAATCTTTTACGTATTGAAGACCATTACATAGATGAGAGTGTTAGTGAAGAAGAAGAAGAAGAAGATGAACAATCAATCATCTCTTTCAACTATCACTATGTCTGGATAAAAGATTTATCGAGACTTATTGGATCACAGTTGTCTAAAAAAAAGTAAAAAGTACATCTGTGACCGTTGCCTCCATTATTTTGGAGATGAACTAAAGTTTTTTGAACACGAAGAAAATTGTCGAAAGATGAATGATACAAAAATTAGGTTGCCGCAACAAGGTAAAAATACTATTGAATTTAAAAATTTTCAAAACAAAGAACGTATACCTTTTATTATTTATGCGGATTGTGAGAGTCTTTTAATTCCTGTGGAAACACCACAAGAGACAAACAAAACTGAAGTCTTTCAAAATCATAAATTACTTAGTATCGGTTACTATTTAAAATGTGCTTTTGACGACTCCTTGTCTGTGTACAGTGCTTCTCCAATAGATGAG